GTTGCCCATCCTACCCTCGTCTTATCCTCGTCTTCACCCCATAGTTCCAACGTTGCCTCTTGCTAAATCGCGATGGCTGCAACTCTCTTCCCCCTTGCCGCACCCCAAGGCCCTGAGCAGCCGCACTACGGTCCTGACCTCGCCGTCCGCCTCATCTGTCCGGATTGCAGGAACCCCTGCCCAAACATCGCGGAGGAATTTGCAAGCGGGGACCTCGTATGCGGGGACTGTGGGCTTGTACTGGGCGACCGTATAGTCGACACACGCAGCGAGTGGCGCACGTTCGCCAACGACGAGGGTGACGACCCGTCCCGTGTTGGCGCAGCTTCGGACCCACTACTCGACGGCATGGGCCAGTTCGAGACCGTCATCGGTTTCAAGGATGGCGGCTCCGGCTTAGCCAGCGACCTGCAACGTGCCGCTCTTCGCGCGCAGGATTCCTCGGGATCCTCTCGCCTCATTTCCGCTTTCCACGACATTGTCGCGATGTGCGACCATCTCTCCTTGACTAAGACCGTCTCTGACAGGGCCAAAGTTCTATACAAGCAATGCGAAGAGGAGAAGATCTTTCGTGGGAAACCTTTGGACGCCACCGTGGCGGCTTGTATCTTCGTCGCTTGTCGGCACGCGGGTGTGCCGAGGACGTTCCAGGAGATGTGCCTGCATGCAGGTGTTAGCAAGAAGGCACTTGGGGGCTGCTTCAAGGTCATCCGCAAGAAATTCGATCTGCAGGCAAACGCAGACGGACCGCAATCCGGGCCGGAGGATCTGCTCGTGCGCTACTGCAATCACCTTGCTATGCCGCCATACACCGAGGGATACTGCAAGCACGTTATAGTCACGGCGCGCGAACTCGGGATAGCTGAGGGACGTAGCCCTGTCACGATTGTTGGTGCTGCGATACTCTTCATTTGCCAGTTGCTAGGCATCCAGAAGGATCTTCAGGATATCGCGCGCGTCGCGGGTGCGTCGGGTGAAACGATCCGTATCGTGTACAACCTGTACTTTGCGGAGAAGGAGAAGCTGGTGAAGAAGGAGTGGTTGGATAATGGCAGGGCGAAGATGGAGAGGCTTCGCATCGCTTGAATGCGCTAGCCTGTACGGCCGCCATTATGCTTTCTGTTTGTATTTCTACTGTCTGACGCCCGCATAATCTTATATCCTACCGCCCGTACGCTATCGTATTAGTCCACCGGGAAGCTCTGTCTAGTACCAGCGTGAAGTCTATGACGTCACGCGTTAAGATCTGAGAAACGTCGCGTAAGATCGGCGGGTGCCTCTGCCCACCACGAGCTACCGCACCTCACTTTACTTTTACATGCTCGTAGCAATCTCTATTGATTACTCTTGCTCCCTCCAACTACACCTACGAACATCTGCTCTCCGCTACCTCGCCGACATACAGAAGCTTCGATACCTTGATGGCCGACGTCAACCACCCCCTCCTGCCACACAAGGTCAACATGCAAAGGATATATGACTCGCCCACAACCAGCAGACGACTCTCGTTGTCTTAGCTCACCTCTAGCGCACACATCGGATGTGGTCTGAGTAGCGGTGCGCGAACCACAAAGTCGACGACCGCGTCAAACCGCTCAATGCCTGGTTTGTGGCATGGGTGGTTCTATGAACGCCTAGGACTATATACCTATCCGCGGCGCTGCGGTCGGGTCACCGCTCGACCCTCGTCCTCACTCGACTGTACCGACGTCGCGACTTGCTACGTCCCAATGGCTACGTCTCCCTTCCCCCTCGCCGCACCCCAAGGACCCGAGGAGCCCCACTATGGTCCCGACCTCGCCGTCCGCCTCATCTGTCCGGACTGCAGGGACCCTTGCCCTAACATCGTGGAGGAATTTGCGAGCGGGGACCTGGTATGCGGGAACTGCGGGCTTGTCTTGGGCGATCGTATAGTCGACACACGCAGCGAGTGGCGCACGTTCGCCAACGACGAGGGCGACAACCCATCCCGTGTTGGCGCAGCTTCGGACCCACTACTCGATGGCATGGACCAATTTGACACCGTCATTGGTTTCAAGGATGGCGGCTCCGGCTTAGCCAGCGACCTGCAACGCGCCACTTTTCGCGCGAAGGAATCTTCGGGGTCCGCGCGTCTCTTCTCCGCCTTCCGCGACATCGCGGAAATGTGCGACCAGCTCTCCTTGACCAAGACCGTCTTGGATACGGCCAAGATCCTGTACAAGAAATGCGACGAGCAGAAGATCTTCCGTGGAAAAGCAAAAGCAAAGGAGGCTTCGATCGCGGCTTGTGTCTTCGTCGCTTGCCGACATGCAGGCGTATCGAGGACGTTCCAGGAGATGTGTCAGCTTACCGGAGTTACCAAGAAGGCGCTGGGGAACAGCTTCAAGGCCGTCAGTAAGACGTTCAACCTGCAGGCGAACGCAGATGGGCCGCAAGCTAGGCCGGAGGAGCTGCTCGTGCGGTACTGCAACCATCTCGCTATGCCGCCGTACACCGAGGGGTACTGCAAGTACGTCATCGCCACTGCGCGCGAGCTCGGGATAGCTGAGGGGCGCAGCCCCATCACAATTGTTGGCGCTGCTATCTTCTTCATCTGTCAGTTGCTCGGCATACAGAAGGACTTCAAGGACATTATCCAGGTCGCAGGTTCGTCGGGCGAAACGATCCGTTTGATGTACAACCTGTACTTGGCGGAGAAGACGAAGCTCGTGAAGAAGGAATGGCTGGAAAATGGCAGGGCGAAGATGGAGAGGCTCCGCATCGCTTGAACGCGCTAGCCTGCACGACTGACATTATGCTAACTGCGTGTATCGCTCATGTACTCTGGTCCGCACAACTTGTATCATATCGCCTGTACACATACTATAGTTCTTTCCACAGTCTGCGTCTCCTCTCCACGAGTAATATGTGTTCAGATGTCGACCGCTTAGGACGTAGGTAAGAGCAGGGCGACGCGCGAGAGAAGGCCGCTCGCGATCGGACTCGGCTCGGACGGTGACGGTCAGTCGGAGGCGAGGGTAGCCGCGTGACGTCACGCGTTGATGCCGAGAATCGCTGCTGGCGTTCGATCCTCGTCTTTCTTTCCGTCTTTCCACCAACTAGAGCACTTCGTGAACACAAGAACTAATCGAACGTCTGCTTGTTGTGGAACACCCGGAATGCGGACAGTTGAGGGACTCGACCAACATGCGCTGTCATTACCTGCGTCGCGACAGTGTCCCCAAAACAGGCACAGCTTTGCCTTTGTCTGACACGAATTGCTGAAGGAACCATCCATATAGTCTTCACAACGCACGACGCTCACTTTAGCATGAATGGCAATGTTCCCTTACTCCGGCTATGTGGATCGTCGCGACGCAGAGAGTGCAACCAGGCCACATCGCAGGACGTACTAGTTCGCAACCTGCTATATAAGTCATCCTGCCCTACCAACGACGTCCCGCGCTCCTTCACCGCTGGTCGGCTGGTGCTCTTGGCCTCCGTATCCTTTGCTTTTGAAGACTGTGGTCATCATGCACACCGAACTCGACGAACTTCTCAAACAACTCAACCTCCACCCTCACGGCGCTGAGTCAGAAGAACAGCTCGAACCTCCCTATCAAGGACCGGACCTCGCAGTGCGTCTCATCTGCCCGGACTGCAGAAATCCTCGTCCCGATCTCGTGGAAGAGTTCAGCAGTGGCGATATTGTGTGCGGCTCGTGCGGATTAGTCTTGGCCGATCGCGTCGTTGATACGCGCAGCGAATGGCGGACATTCTCTAACGACGGCGACGAGGATGTATATGATCCATGCCGTGTCGGTGCACCCGTAGATGCATCACTTAGTTCTGCCACCGACCTGCAGACCTTCATCTCTCACAAAGACGGAAATTCGGCAGTTACACGAGAGCTCGAAAGAGCCGCCGCCCGTGCACGCGACTCTTCACCCAACCGCCACATTCTATCCGCTTTCGACCAAATCTCCTCGACATGCGAACGAGGATCCTTGGCCGTGAGCATCTCAGATGCGGCTAAGCAAGTATACAAACGGTGTCACGATGAGAAGGTCTTTGTTGGGGCATGTACTGAAGGCGCTGTAGCCGCGTGCATCTACGTGGCGTGTCGACAAAAAAAGGCTGCAAGAACTTTTGGAGAGATCGTTAGTCTTACGGGCGTGGATAAGCGGGCAATCGGAAGGAGCTTTAAGGCTATCAAGTCTGTCCTCAAGGTTCCGACGCAGCCAGGAGCACAAGAACACCCTATTGGACCGACTACTATGCCGGAGGAACCGCTTGTGCGATTCTGCAACCAGTTAGATCTGCCGGAGTATATGCTCGCATACTGTAAAGACGTCATCATTTGTGCGCGTGAACGAAATATTGCGTACGGTCTATGGCCACAGTCGATTGCCGCAGGCGCTATCTCGTTTATGTGCCAGTTGCTTGGGATTGACCGGTCTGAGGAGGAGATCGGGGTGGCCGCCGGCATTGGTGACGATACAATTCGGAAGGTCCATAAGGCATACTTCGAGGAGAAGAACAGTCTAGTGAAGATGGAGTGGATAGAGATTGGGAGGGCGAAGATGGAACGGCTGTCAGTATCACCAAACAGCCTGGCAAGCGGCGGACGATGAAGGCCCCATTGAAAGTTGCTATCCCGCCTTGGCGAGCTCTACCGTAGATTTCCTCCCATATCCTATGTATGAATGCTTAATCAATTGCTGAGTGGGTCTTGAGTGCGTGATTGGGGCGGATAATGGGCCCGAAGCGGGAAGGAACGAGAGAAGAAGAGAATCGGCTGCCTGTCGGAGAAGTTCAAGGCGCGTGACGTCACGCGTCGTTGCTCGCAGCAGGTTAGCAACACGTCTCCCTCGTCCTCTCGCTCCGTCTTCCATGATCCGTCAAAGGCGCGCTTCTCAATTATGCTCTTGCCAAGACGGGCCAGAAACGTGCGAGCTGGCCGGTTGTGGCCTATGAATGACCTGCTGAAGCGGCGCCTAGAGTGCAAGGCGGTGGAGCGCCCGGCCCATGATGGATGACGCGTTCAAACGCTCTGTCGTCACCTGCGATCTCAGACTCCAGCCACAGCTCCTGCGACTATATAGCCGTTTCCTCCGTCTTTCCTCGTTCTCACTTTTCTCTTCCTCTCATCTTCACGACCCGCGACGACGAACGACCAAACAAAACTTTCATCACCACCATCATGAAACTTAACATCTCGCTTCTCTTCGTTCTCGCGCTCGGCGCTCAGGCTTCCTGGTTCGGCAACGAAAAGCCGGCGTACGAGGGTTGGGATACACAACAACTCACGGCTTGGCTCAAGGCGCACGACGTGCCGCTGCCAGCCGCCGCTCAGCCGCCGACGCACAAGTACCTCCAGGAGCTTGTGAAGAAGAACTGGGCAGAAACCGCCGCGTCCGCCTCTTCCGCATATGATGCTGCCGCCGCTACCGCCGGAGACTACTACGACTCTGCTGCGGCAAAAGGCAACGACGCCTATGCCGCCGGCCAGCACGTGTTCCAGGCTGCCGAGCAGCAGCGCAAGGCGGCTTGGGAGAGCACGATCGAGGCGTGGGACGAGAGCGCGTTGAGGAATTTCTTACTTGAGCGCGGTGTTGTGGAGCCAAAAGGCACGCGCGAGGAACTCGCGTTGCTCGCGAAGCAGAAGTACCGCGAGTGGATGAAGTCCCTCGGTAGCGCGAGCGCGTACGCCGCACAGGCCACTGCTGACGTATGTGACATCTCCCTTACGCGCTTTTGGTAATCCGACTGACTTTTGCGGACAGGTCGGCCGCAAGGCTTCCGAGCAGAAGGACTGGGCCTACTCGACCTGGACTGACTCCCAGTTCCACGACTTCCTCGTTGACAAGGGTCTAATCAAGAGCCAGCAGCAGGCGACGCGCGACGAGATGATCAACTACTTCAACTCGTGGTACCACTCGGCCGTCGACCCCGCTTACGAGGCCTGGTCTGACTCCTACTTGAACGAGTGGCTCTGGTCGCACAACGTCACACCGTTCTACAAGGACGTGCCGCCGCGCCCGACGCTACTTGAGCGCATCAAGCTTTACTACTATGACATCACCCAGAAGGTTCGCCACTTTGTTTCGCACGTCTCATTTGCGCGCCTATTGATGATCTTCCTGCCAGGTCTGGAACACCTGGACGGACTCCGAGATGAAGACTTGGCTTGTCTCGCACAACATCATCAAGTCTGACGCGACCGTCGCCCGCGAGAAGCTCGAGAAGCTCATCGCGGACAACTACCTCGCCGCACACGACACGATCTGGGATGCATGGCGCGACACCGATATCCGCGGCTGGCTCGTCGAGCACAACATCGTCTCGCAAGAAACCGCCGACTCCTTGACCCGCGAGGAGCTCGTCGCGAAGATATCAAAGCACTACGACGACGCTGCCGGACGTGCGGAGGACTACCTTGTCTGGCCCGATGCGCGCCTGCGTGCTTTCTTGAGGGAGCAGGGTGTGTCTGAGGACGCGCTTCCGACCTCTCGCCCGGGCTTGTTGCAGGAGGCGCGCATTCGCTGGGTTCAGACAGAGCATGCCGCCGACGCTCTGTACGGCCGCATCCTCAACATTCTGGGTAGCGGAAAGCACGTCGCCGAGGAGAAGCTCCGCCAGATCTTCGAGATCTTGACCGGCGGCGCTGAGTGGACGAAGGCGAAGGGCCAGGAGAACGTCGACTGGGGCAAGTACAAGGCCGGTGAGGCGGGTGACTACGCCAGCGCGCAGGCCGGTGCCGCGAGAGATGCAGCTGGGAAGAAGGCGAGTGACGCGAAGGATGCCGCACGAAATGCGGGCAAGGCAGGCGCTGGGAAGGTTGAGAGCGCTGCCGGGAAGGTGAAGAGCGAGTTGTGAGGTCGTGGTCTGTATGATGGATCGTTCACTTTTCCGAACTTGACTCGCTGGTATCCATATGCACAATCGTATCATCTGTATAGTACCTGTAGGATCCCCGGCGTACCCCACCTCCCGCCGTATGTACCATAGCAATTAACACGCTTTTGCTACTTTCGCATTGGGAAGCGCGCTAGTCTCGTCGTAGCGGGTCTCAGCGTCGACTCAGTTGGGGTTTGTGACGTAATCAGCACAATCGTCACGACGAGCGACGGCAAACTCTTCCCGAACCGCGACTGCTCGTCGACGAGGTCACTCATGGAAATTCATCGCTCGTTCACCTCGAGATCCCAGCCCATAAGAACATTGCGTCCCCAATACAATGAGAGCTAAGTAGGTTTGCGAGGCTGGCTGAGAACCATGATTGGCGCCGAAGCAAACTTCGATGGCAAGACCCAGGCGCCGCACGAGGCTGCAGACGTGGGGTGACAGCCTGCATGTCGACCATGTAAGTTGCTTAGGCCAGTCACCGACCGCGCGCACACTGTAAGGTATGTGTGGAGCATGCATTGCTTTTGGTGTCCGCGTCTGATGCCAGTGATAGGAAGCACAATGGCCGACGCCCTCGCTGCCGCGCGGGAGCACAACACTTTAGCGCCCATCCATGTCCATCTCGCGAACGAGCACCTCCAGGAGATCTTTCTCGCTCTATCCCTCATCGACGCCCCTTCGCTAGAGCGACCTCAGGGATGGTATCTCCAGGTCAATGGCATCTGCCATATTTGGCGCGAGATCGCATTGAACTTTCGCGGGCTCTGGGCGCGCAACGCCGGCTCATTTCCTTCCCGTCGCATGACAGATCTCGCGATAGAGCGCGCGGGTGCCCACCATCTCAGTTTCGTTGGACATTTTAAAGACCATGATGGTCCGGGCTATGTCCTGAGCGACTATCAGTTGTCGCTCGTCGAGACGCGCACGGAGAAGTTGCGCTCGCTCGTACACGAGCTGTACACGGACTGGGCGGAGCTGTTCTATCGAGTGCAGACCTTGCCTGAGCTCGTGACTGCGAGGATATGCGATGATTCCGGTCCTGATATGTGGAAGGGGGCCATTGGTGCCCCGCAGTTGGAATGTCTCTACTTGAATAATGGCCTCATACCGTTCAATGCACCACGGCTGCGATACCTTCATATTGATATGGACAACTTCAATTGGCGCGAAGGGCCAAGATCCAGAAGATCGGACGATGAGCCTATGTCGGACAGCTGCGAAGCGATTCCGAGGGTCTTTCCTACTCGCGAAGTCATTGCTCTCTTGCAGCGTTCACCTGGGTTAGAGCGATTGATCATCACGAATATGCCTGAGCTGCAGGACACAAATATACCCTCTGTGCATGACTTACATGCGGAGCTTCCCAATCTGCGTGGTTTGCATCTGGGCGGCAACTCCGAGGCCACTGGCGACCTATGGCAAAGGTTGCGTCATGTGCCTTCAGATGTGCAAGTGTTCATCGATACTGTACACTCCTTCCGAGTTCTTTACGGCGGAAACGCATCCATTTTAGACGCAATGCACGACTTTCTGAATTCGCCTGCGTACGATAGCGTGAGGCTCAGCATGGATGGTTCGCACGATCTACTCTTCCAGCTATGGTCGTCTAAGGAACGCGGTTCAGCCGCTTTGGAGTTACCTGCGTCCCTTCGTTTGACCGAGTCCACACCGGGCGCCGCATTGACGATCCGGTACCACGTCTGGCTTTATGCGCCGCTATTTGAAGACTTCATCGAGGAAGAGAAGAGACAGCTGACCAGGGAATGGGCCCGAAATGAAGATCCCTACGAGAGATACCGAAGCAGGGTGGCTAAGGAGTTCTATAACTGCATGGCGACCATTTTGAACAAGTTCGACGCTTCGGCGATCACGAATGTCGACTTGACAGATATTCCGTTTGGAGATCAACAATTCTATCCTTTTGTCGTGCTTACATCGGCCTACGAGAAGCCGGACAAGGCTATCGTTCGTCTATTTCGCTCGCCAGATGTTCCTTCCTCGCCTCAAATCAGCTTAACATTGAACTGGGACTTCCTCAGGAACCTGCAGTCGAATAGCAGAAGTAACGCGCCAGATAGGTTGCTAGGTTTCTATATCCCAAACTCCGTCAGAGAGTTGACCATCGTCAACTTCCCTTGCGCATCGTTCCCCCACTGGAAGAGATACGACGATGAGCACAACGAGAAGGCTTGGAATGCTTTGCGCAACGTATGCTCCAAGTCTTTTCAACATCGCCTGGAAGAGGGTGTTCCTCCACTGGTACTGAAGCTAGCTGAGTCCTCGTCCGAGATGTCCAATATGGAGCGCTCCGAGGAGCCGAAATACAAGCACATGACACACGATTCTTACGAAGATGCTGTGAGGGCTGTCACCGATAAGGGTTATCGGCAGATTGCGTCGTTTGTCGCGGAGTTCGCTGATCTACGTATACACAGAGTTTGACACTGAAGATGTCACACGTGTACTGACAAGCTCGAACTTCGAACATCCGCCAGAGCTGAGAGTCGACTAGAGTTGTATCGAATCTCCCTTATACATATGTGACATCACCTCCCGGAGAAATAGTTTTTGCACCATGTAGATACAGTCGCGAACGAGCATCGAAAAGATCAAGTAGGGTAGATAGACGGGAGGAAAACAAATTCAGCGCAATGTCAGTGCATTAAGGGGGAATCGAACCCCCGGCGGGTCGATGGCAACGACCCAGGTTACCACTACCCCATTAATGCTTGGACATGATTCTCAAAATGTAATAGT